AATATGATAAAGACATCTAGTTAATATGTAGTGTTGTCAAAAATTATAGATGAGTTTAGAAACATGAAACCTTGAATAGCAATGTTTGTGAATCAATGGATGTCTTCAGCTAGTACACCACAATTTCATATTCTTGAGATGCCTTAGTAACTTTAAATCTGAACAAGAATAAGCTTTTATTTGTACATTCCCTAGTCAATTGTTATTCAGGATATTCTAGAAAGATATTCATTAGGGAAAATGAAACTTAAAACTGTTATGTATACAGCTTTTATGTAGATACTGAGGCAGGTCTAATTTTTACAAAGTTATTAGTTCCTTCTTATGAAATTAGAAACCTGGTTATGAAAGAGTCATTTAATTGTTATATGTTGCCCTTTATCTGGTTTGTAGATACAGGGGCTGGTCAGATTTCTACAAAGTTATTTGTTCCTATTTTATTGACAAAGACAAGATTAAAGCATGTTTACATTACAAGACATAAAGGTGCAAAAATAATTAAGCTGTGTGTAGAGAAAAGTGGTCTGAAGTGTAGGTTTTGTGGCTTTATGATAAAGGTCAAATGTCTATGGTTCTTTAAGCTCTGAGAAAACTTTGGTTTAACACAGAAACTGTTACGTAAACAGAGGAGGAAATGATCATTATGTGTAACAACCTAACAGTGGTCACAAACAAATTGGACAGCTTCAAGGACATACCTGGTAGAGCTTGTTATGTAGTGGGATTAAGGTGACCCCTTATTAGGATGTTGAATCAGGGGATTAAGCTGACCTCTACTTGGGGCTTAGCCTCTCACTGTAGGGCTGCATACAAAAGGTACTTCCTGTCAAATACAGCTCCCCTTTTATAAAACTTTGATTTGTTTAACCAAGGTGACAAATGATAGAAAGGTTAATCATATCCAATAGATTTCTCAAACACAGACATCAGTCTACTGTGTGTGTACTTGGCTATCAAGGGAAGTTTGGGATTCAAGACCACATTTATTTCTGATTTACTGTTGTGTAATTCGCACAAGTTATTCTCATTTCTTTTTTTTTTTTTTTTCTTTTTTTTTTTCCCCCAAAATGCCAATTATTATTAAGATGAAGCAGGACTTCGTCAGGAAGCATCCTGATGAATATGTACATCAGTTTGTCACAGTATGATCTTCATACAGTTGAACGGATGTCTTAAAGGTTAAAAAATCACAGTAAATCTTCACATGAACAGGAAACAAGATCTTCAAAACTGTTAAAACACATTAAACTTCAATGCCTTTAATGATATTTTGTAGTATGCAGTAGCTGCCTAAGGCAAAATTTACTACAAAGGGATGAGATGGAGGGGGAGGGATGTCTATTTGACAGTAACAAGGACACTGTGTCATTATTCTGCACAGGGTCAGCCAGCACTTACATATCAATTGCATGCAATATGCATAAGGTTACAAGGTACTTGATAAAAGGCGAGAGGCATGAAATATTGTCAGCACTATATCAGTAGTAAATACAACTTTCTCTGACATCTGGGTCAGTAACAAGATCAAAAATTAGCTCCTGATTTTTCAACAATAAATGGCTATTAAAGGGGACAGACTGGTCATTTCCTGTAAGATCTCTAGGTGGTCATAAGTCTTGACTTGATGCCACCTATGTTTGCTTGTGTAAGATAAAAGTTCGTAGACATACATTTATGTTGTCTGGGTCGTAATTGCCACCCCCTCCCAGTAACACTTGTGTCATCGTAAAGGACTTGTTAACAGTTCCTGTCACATTGTAAACTGATAGTCACCTATCAGCCCTGGACAGCTTGGAAATGGACACTGTCTTCGTACCTTTCTCAAATGATGACGATTGTATAGTGACATTAGTCGGGGGGACTAAACTGTCAACATTACAAGAGTACAGCCATTGATTGTCCTTCATTACTCACTTAGTGAAGGGTTTGATGTTACAACCTTTACCTGTAGGTGTACAGTATACCAATATTGTAAATCTGTAATCTCTACAGACAAGATCACTGCCATGATCAAAGATCAGTGTCAACTTCGACTTCATTTGTAAGAAACAAAAATCACAAATCCAACATTAAGCTATCTGAATATATCTGTACTCAGGATAAATCTTCTTATAACTTGATATTGTTACAACCCTGAACACTAACAATTTAATCAGTGATGACACAATAACACATTATCAGTGGGTTTATCATTTACCTGCCATAAAGTTCATTTATGTCCTCAGACATTTCTACACTTCCTTGAACTTTTTTAAACATTACTGGTAGTTGTGAGGTCCATTTTATACTTTGATATTCGTTCTCAATGTCACGCGTGTGAAAAAAACTAAATCATATCAGTTTTTTTTTCAAAGGTAAATTTCAAGTGAAGGGAACTTGATTATGTGTCAGTGGCTGCCTTTTACCAAAGAGATTACATCAAATGTTGCTGTGCAGAATATTATTGCACATGCCTATAGTGATATACCTATGACATGTTTCTGTATGTTAACTTGACAAGGTCTTGTGAAATAAAGTAGTACAAGGCAGTCGTGATTGGTTCTGATTATGAATTCATGGAACAAGGTTGATTTTCTTCAGATGAGAAGTCGTTCGATGTCATATACAGCAGTGATGTATTTCTCTGCTGTAAGCTCCCAGTTCCTGCCGAGTGGTTGTGATTTGTCTGGATCAATACCACAAACAGCATGAATTACACCACCAGTACATCATAAAACACTTAATATAGCATTTAGGATCTTTCAAGCTGTTGCCAGGCTTAAGTTGTGTTCAATTTACATGTTCTTTCAAAAAAAAATTTGCAGCTGTTTCAGAAATTTGATCTGCATCCAAGTGTTTTACATGTGTTTCATATTTCAATTGTCATATACCCGATACCTAGATAGACTGTAATTGTTCAGGTCTCATCTTGAACATAGAACAATACAAATTAGATTATTAGAAATGATGGATTCATAATGGTTTAGAAATTATGGACTTTAATCATGCTTACAGCTCTTAAATCTTTTGGCAATAACAAAATTTAATCAATTTTTTTGAAAAAGAAAAAAAAACCGCTTTGGCTATATTTGGGATATAGGGATTTTTCTGTCACAGAAATGATCAAGAACTTTTCATTTTCCCATGCTGACTATTCTATAGAGACGATTGACTTAAATGTCAGTTAGCAAGGTTGAATAAATGTTTTGAGATATCAATGTTCAGTATCCCTTTCAATGTATACATCATGGTGATTGAGACTTTCAGAAATCTGAATTCCCTGGTACTGCCAAGAAAATTTTCATGCTAACAAGACATCCCTGTGACAACCATAACACGGCATAGAGCACATCTCACATAGAAACGGCAATTGTTTTTCCGTCAAACTTTATGTCATCATCATTTGAAAAAATGGTCTCCTTATTTGCTTAAAGAAAAAAGTGTGCCCTTAGCAACCTTTGCTAAATGGATTTCTGGTCTAGATATAGCACAAATAGATAAATTTAGCAATCCTTATTTGCTTAAAGGAAAAAAATGTGTCTTTAGCAACCTTAGCTTAAAGTATTTCTTGTCCAAAGTTAGCACAAATGGATTAGAAGTGATGGATTAGGAAGAATGAATAAATAATGAAATGAAAGTGACCCATTTTCAATGGAATTTGTCAGAACTGATGGTATTTCTAGCATCATGTAGCTCGTGTTGATCAGGAACAGACATTTCTGTATCAAGGTATACCTATTGGTTTTACTGTAAACATGTGTACAAGTTACACGGCACCAGGTGTTATATTGTCATTCCATAGGCCCTCCAGACAAACTAATGACTGATTTATAGAGCTGTCATCAATAACTCAACTGGTCTGTGAACTTTCAGTTCTTACAGTAATGTTCTACTAAAGACACCTTCTGTTTACTGAAATACACAACAAATTAGAGCATAATAATGATATGTTATAGACCTATTGTTTATAGTGTACACAGCTCAGGAATCTGTGGCCACATATTATTGTAATGTACAGATATTAGCAAAAGCTTTTTTCTTAGTGCATTGACATTTTGTATAAGAATTTTAAAGGTTGTATGAAAGATACAAAAGTGAATAACACTTTGATACAAATTTAAAATTTTACACTTTAGATTCAAACAATAAATTTAACTGAATCATACAAATGTTTCATCTTTCTGGATCTCATCATTGATTTTAAGGGCCTGCACATGGCAAATTTTGAAATCTCTGTCGAAGAAAAATCAAAATGAATATCTAGATATTTATACAGTTTAATGCATTGCTTATATTTCAGCTATAATAATTCAATAGGTTATCACAGTAAGATATTACTACTGTCGATTGCAAATGTTTAAAAACGATATCGCCATTATCTGAATTTTTGGGTATCTCCTGGTAAGCATATATCCTACAATGTTTTGCAGTGTTATGGGGTGTTTATTTTTAAAACGATACTGACCGTATCCAAACAAAATTAAGAATCCAAGGAATATAAGGTCTAAAACCTCCACTGGAATGTGTACTAAGTATGTATATTGAAAATCTAAACCTTAATTGCTTTCTGTAAAGTGATAAAAGGGTTGTTATAGATCACCATAATTATTTCATTTTGGGATGTCCCTTGTCAGTCATATAGATAAGAAAATGAGTTTGATTTGATAATTATAAGTATTTAGCATGTGCTTTCTTAGATGGTTTTCTATAGAGTGAAATTAAGGATTTCTTCTCATAATGCTTTTCTTCCTTTACAGGTTTATCAACAGAAACTTCCAGAAATGAAGAAAGCCAGAAGTTTAATTGGGCATTTTGAAGAAATAACCTGATTCAAGGAAAGAAAAGACCAAGCAAACAATAGTGAATGCTGGCAGAGATGCCTTGTGTGAACCTTCATGGGAATCAACCTAGTGTTGTGACAAGTGAGGTTATCAACATGTTATGAAAATATTCCCCGCCAGAAGAGAGAAAAAAAGCAACCTGTCTGTATATAAATAGTGTTGTCCCAAAGTCAATTGATCTGGATTGGTATAATATTTTTACCACAGATTGGAAAATTATTTGTAAAGTTGTTTTTTCTTCCATCTTTAACAACTTGATTTAAAAGATTTCGGCCAAATTGTTGGTCAGTAAAGGTGATACGTGGAATTATTTGTGGAAATATGTGTCGGACGATAATCATGAAGGATGAGTTTTTCAAGTACATGGTAATTTCTGTTCCTTCACATCCTACATTCCAGCACTGATGAACGATATGTAAGATAGAAATTAACTCTTGCTGTTCAAACTTACCCAACAAGTGTTCGACCGCTTCATCAGATGGTTCAGAACCATGTACTGGGACTTAATACTGAGGTAGCAGTTCTGATTTAGAAAAGATGTGACCCTGCCCAAAATGGACATCAGATTCCAAAGGCTACATCCATTCTTCATGTAAAGATGGGACAGGAAACAATAATTGAGTGGGATACTTCTACTTAACACATTCAAGATTATATTGTGTAATTGATATTCTGAAGGATATAAATTACTGAAGAAAATATCATCAGTAACATCAGGTGAGCTTTTCCTTTCTCAGTTTTCTGTTTAATAAAAAAACTATCATTAAAAAACTAGTAAATATTAAGTAAAATTAAGACAGAACACAGCAGCTGTTTGGTTTCTGTTGGATTTAAAATGCATAAATTTTTGGTGGTTAGGGGCATATTGGGGGGTGTCATCATGTTACAGATGTGCTGTCCCACCATGCTCCTTTGATCAACAGATTCCTATCTAAAATAGTAGAAATATATGGTTATATAAGAATGTCAGTAGGAATGTTAACTTATGTAACTCATAATTTTTCTCCATTATGTCTATTAGTGCAGCATATAAGTTGTGTTTTTTGAGGGCTATTTTTTGGGGATTGTAATAACACAATCTTGTAGACAAATCATGCATATGATTGTAGACACTCGATGGGTTTTGTGACGATGTTTGGTAGCAATTAAACAGCTGTTTCATCTTCCCATATAAAACCAGCCTTGTAATGATAATCTGACTTCTGTGCAATTAATGTATCAACTTTTTTTTTGTGAGCACCAATTAGACCTTATTGGGTCATCAGAGCAAAGTGACCCCCAGTGGATGTAAAGGGCCACACTTAGGTGTGTTTATTGGCACCAGATGGAGGAACAGTTGTTTTAGGGAGTATGTAGTGATTCAGTATGAGCAGCTGATCATCCTGGTCTATGGAATTAGACTGTGACTGCCTAGTGGCCCTTGTTGTCTGAAGTTAGGTTAGGTGACTGTCTAGTGGTCATGGTTGTCTGAAGGCAGGCTCTGTGACTGCCTAGTGGCCCTTGTTGTCTGAAGTTAGGTTAGGTGACTGTCTAGTGGTCATGGTTGTCTGAAGGCAGGCTCTGTGACTGCCTAGTGGCCCTGGTTGTCTGAAGTTAGGTTAGGTGACTGTCTAGTGGTCATGGTTGTCTGAAGGCTGGCTCTGTGACTGTCTAGTAGTCATGGTTGTCAGAAGGTAGGCTCTGTGACTGTCTAGTAGTCATTGTTGTTAGAAGGTAGGCTCTGTGATTGCCTAGTGGTCATGGATGTCTGAAGGCAGGCTCTCTGACTGCCAAGTGGTCATAGTTGTATGGAGTTAGGTTATGTGACTGTCTAGTGGTCATGGTTGTCTGAAGTGAGGCTCTGTGACTGCCTAGTGGTCATAGTTGTCTGGAGTTAGGTTATGTGACTGTCTAGTGGTCATGGTTGTCTGAAGGCTGGCTCTGTGACTGTCTAGTGTTCATGGTTGTCAGAAGGTAGGCTCTGTGACTGTCTAGTGGGTGTCCATTCACATAATAACTGCTGTTTGAACATGAACATCCAGTTTCATTATAAAACTGGTGATAACATCAGAAATTTATAAACATAGTAAAGCTGGAAGTCTAAACTTAATACAGCTCCAGTTTTGGACTTGCTTTTGGATTTGTGAACAACAAGAAATCAATTGTTATATTGAGGACCAATTGACACAATTTCTTGTGATATCATTCATCTGGTAATCCCTTTATAATGTGAAAAAATTAGTGGACAAATGGTGGCAGTACAACTACATCTTATTGTCTACTTCATGCTTGTATTTTATCTTACATTTATGAAATGAGGGGTTATGATAACTCAAGTCTTTGCTGTCCTGGTTGTGTCCTTGGACAAAGTACTCTAATTGCTCTGAATGACACGAGATGGGGCCCCAATATTTTGCTCATTGAGGTAACTGCCAGCTTCTGCATGGAGACCCTACCTCAAAATGATCCTTGGTGTTGACAAGGTGATAAACCCATCCAAAGAAAAGAGATAAAAGAAAAAAATTAAAAACAAAGCAATAATTTGACAAAGAAAATTTAATTCTTCCTGGCATCCTAAATTAACCAGGTTGGAGTTTTGGAATTTTCTTAGGTGAATTATGGTAATGAAGAAAGGATACAGAAATTTGGTATGTGGTGCACAAAGATCATCTTGATGGCGTGTGTAGAGAAACAATAGTCTTGTCATTATCAATGAGAGTGAGCTCCATGTTACATCTGGATAGATAGGAATCTGTCTGGCCTAAATCCAGTTACATAATGTCTTGTGTGAGTGTGTCAGCAACAAGATCTTATGATTTTTCTACGTAACTGGTCCGAGGTGTGACAAATTAACAATACTGAACATTTGGTTTAATTCATTGTATTTATAAGATAATAAACTTTGTGTCCAGTTGTTGACCAAAGTAATGGTCAGCAGCACCCTATTCCCCCACCTTTCAAAGATAAAGACCACAATTTATATATGGGCTGAAAAATGAAAGTATTAAGAGTTAATTCCAGTACCGGAGGCTAATAAAGGTATGAGCCTCCTTTAATCTGTTTGATCTCCTAATGTAGACAAGCATTAGCTGGTCTCAGCTGACCGTTCAATTTCATTTAATACCTTCAGTATTTTCTTTTAAAGTGGTAGACATATCTTTTGGATTGTTAACTCCTAGTACTAAATTGATATATATGACAAAACTAATAGAGAGATTATTAGTAATCTGATGGCAATAAAAAGTAGTTTAAATGGACAGTTTTTTAATCTGGTGCTTTTTTACTTGACATGGTCCTTTGTTGTCACTACTTTGTATGAAACAAATTTCACATTAAAAGAGCACCTGCTTGTTCAAAAAGCTTCAGAAATCTTCTGTATGGCATAGCATGTTGATACATAGACTAGTAAATTGGGGAGTAGAAGACATGTTTTAACATTGTTGTGACTGCAGTGGAATTAGGGTCAATTATCAGGCAGGTCAGCCATGGAACACTAACCTGTAACACTGTTAGATGAACTTGTCAAAACATGATGTTTTTGTTTCACGTTCAGATAATATTTAGATATATCAGGGGATATGTTTACACTCCAATTGATATGGAATACCTGATGTTATCTAGCATAATCTCGGTTAACTTCTGCTTGTCTTGTAAGCTTGGTATATAGTCCAGATTTATCCTTCTATACTATGTAGTAAGACTTACTGTTAATTCACTGATGTATAGTAGGTCAGTAGCATGTAAAATCAAGCATGTAGAGAGATGCTGCAGACTGACATCATGAAATCCATCTGTCCTGTGGATCTGCTTGGGTATTGCATTATGTTCTAGCAAAGTCTGTTACTAGCATTTGACTTCAGAAAATTACTCTTGTCATCAATCTTTTGATACTTAGCAATATAACCTGTATTCAAACAACCTGTATTCAAAGATAGTAATACCATATTTGGCAAGGAAATTTGTAATTGTACGAAGGATTGTTTTGTATAAAAACTAGGTCACTGTAACCTTTATTTGAAAGTTGTTTCCCTATTTATTGAACCACTGAAACATAGCTCACTTGAAATTATCTTGTTTTATTTAAGTGTTCAAATATCTAGTTTTTAACCATTATAGATGATCCCACAATATTTTTGTCTTGTTAAGAATTTAAGTGGCAATTGTTTGCTTGTATTCTCGGTATATATCTCATCACATCCACCCAACATCTTATAGTTGTAAAGGTGTTTGATGTAGATGTAGATGTTATTAGCAATTACTCTTATATAAGGTGTTTTCTATGTGTTGTAACAGTAAAGACTTCTTCTGTGTTAGAGTTGTCTAAACATAGGAATTGTTCCATCCATTTATATATTGTAAGCTATTTGGAGACCTTATTTGATAGACAATTTGCATTTAAGATGATTATTTTCTCAAAGTCCTCATTAATAGTGACATATGACTTTGAATATGTAAATTAAGTAGATTTCAATTAGAAAGCACACTAAAAAATATATATGAGTAGGTTTTCTGTGATACCCTTCTTAACCCAACTTGTATTTTCATTCTATTTGTAAAAAAGTAAAAAGTTGTGTGGCAAAGTTTTACCCATGTCTTAATTACACATTCTGGTAGGAGCAGGATATAAAGTTAAAAAAGACAGTTAAGTTATCGGCTGATTCTAGCTAGATTACGATAGCTCTTACAGATTTCAATTCTCTCTTACAGATTTAGAATATGATGAAGTGTTTTTAAAAAAAACTTGAATTAAAAAGAGATTGTATCAGGTTTTGTACAATAAAATGTTTGTTGATTTGCCTACTATAACAATATCGTTGATCTCTAGTTGACCTCAGATCACACTGGTGTTGTTAGTATTTACACATATTACTGCCCAGTGGGTGTGTATAAGATTCCAGGCATTCCTAAGTAGTACATGTCGCTTGTACCAAAATTACCTATTTCTGTGTATTTACTGAAACATTTACAAAATTGAGTTATTTAAATGTGAAAAGTCCATAGATGATGTCATGTGATCAATGTATATGATGTTCTTGAAATAAATCAAGAAGTAGAGAAAAAGTTAGGTACCCTGGGGACTGTTTGAAATCTGATGTAATGTAATTAAAGCTAAGCACTGACACTACCTTGACACAAACATGTTATCTGCAAAAGAAACAGCAATTTCCACTTAAATATTTTAAAAGCAACGTTCATATAGAATTCCTTGTAAGATATATATTAGTGAAAAACACCTCAATGACAAACCTGCCCATGGCAATAATTTTGTGAACCAAACATTTCATTTGCAAAGATTGTCACCATTCAGTCATGCAAAACAAATCCCATCAATAAATAACAGTAATATTACAGAATCTCTATGGTTCTTATTATTGTAGTATTGTTCAGAAACTGAGAATCGACGTAGAGGGATGAAGTTCATTTTCCGGATGTCCTGTTCAGCTTTTATTTGAACCTGTCATTGTTCAGAAAAGCAACCATCATTTTAATTATAATGGCATATGTTGAAAGTGCCTGATTATAAAATTGTAGATCTGTCGGAAAGAAATAGTTGAAAGGCCAAACACTCCAAGCAATTGGTATAAGACTTCAGTGCATATGATATTATACTTTAAACTAACTCCCAAGTATATTCAGGTATTGATTTTAAATCCTCTTTCAATCGTTCATTCTCATGCAATACAGAAATAAGTTGTTGTTTTCAGGCTTATAACAATATTCAATTTTATACGTGTATA